AGTATCCCATTCCTATAAAAATTATGACCAGGCTCTGGATAATTCTCATTTCAATAATATTCTCAATTACTTCACAGAGCTTATATGTATGGTCAAGCAGAAAAATTAATTATACCATAACTACAATTATTTAGAACTCCCTAAAAACAAGGATGGCAACCATGGCTATTGCTGAGCGCTGACCACATGCCAGGCACGGTGCTATGTTCTATGCAGGTTTTATCTTTTAATCCCAAGTAGAAACTTTATGGGGTAGGACTCTTATTAACCCCATTTTCAGAGATGAGAAACATGAGGTTTTGAACAATTTCCTTTAAGTCACGTGACATATCTTATAGCCATTAAAAAATGTCTTGAAGTAATTTTATGACATGGGAAAATGTTAAATAAGGAAGTAAGATAAAACTAAATATATCTTATGATCCAAAACATTTTATGAAGTCTGTGTGTATATGTGTATGAATCTGAAGGGGAAAAAAATGTGCTCAGACACTAACAGCAGTTTTTCTGGATGGTAGAATTGTGTTTTGTTTTGTTTTTTTACTTTTTTATTCTATTCAAAATTTTTAAATTTGCTGTAATGAACATGTACCTCTATTTAAGTTTTTATTTTTTTTAAAGATTTCTTTATTTATTTGGGAGAGAGAGCTCATGTGCCGGTGGGGGGAGCGGCAGAGGGAGAGGGAGAGGGAGAATCCTCAAGTAGACTCCCCACTGAGCACAGAGCCAGACGCGGGGCTCAATCCCAGGACCTTAAGATCATGACCTGAGCCAAAATCAAGAGTCAGACACTTAACTGACTGAGCCACCCAAGCGTCCCTATTATAAGGTTTTATAACCTAACCACAAGGATTTGTATGAAAACTTCTGGGTGTGTATGAAAAAGATGAGTGTTATATAATATCTAAGTCCTCAGAAGAGGTCAAGTACTTCTTATATATATTTTTTCCATTATTCATAGTTACTGAGTCACCAAAACCCATCCTGGAAAAGGCAGCTGGACCATCCAAGGCCAAGTATCAAGGCAATCTATTGCCAGAGAACTTTGAGGAAAATAAATCTCATAAAGGGGCTTCAGAACTCCTGTCACCATCACATTATGGCATATTTCCTTCTTGCGGGAAGTAAAGACAAAAAGAGCCCATGACTATAGTTCATTAAAAAAAAAATACATTCTTAAGTCTCAATGTCTGTCTTCCAAAAAATCAAGTGCATACCTGCACTGAGAGCTGAGAACACCTGCCAAGCCCATTCTTAAGTCTCTTGTTTCTGAAGCCTGCTTACTTATTCTTTGGGGATATATTTCTTTTTTTAAAGATTTTATTTATTTATTTGACAGAGAGAGACACAGCGAGAGAGGGAACACAAGCAGGGGGAGTGGGAGAGAGGGAGAAGCAGGCGTCCCACAGAGCAGGGATCCCGATGCGGGGCTCGATCCCAGGACCCCGGGATCATGACCTGAGCCGAAGGCAGCCGCTTAATGACTGAGCTACTCAGGCGCCCCGGGGATATATTTCTTGACAAATAAATTGTGGAGTCGCTTTTATCCTTGTACACCAAACAAGGCCAAAGAAAGTTATAACTGGATATTATATTTTTGATTCATGTGAGGAAATAAAAGTCATCAGACTCCCATCTCATTGGTTTCCCCCCGAAGAACTTGGTTTTCCATTGTAGGCTAAACTCCTTTGTTTGCATTCCATTCCCTAAGCATGTGATGCCAATACTGAGGTCCAGGGTTATTTGCCCATCAAAAAATCCTAGCTTTGGAAGAAGGCTGGGAAAGGTGAGGATAACATCTGGATTTTGCTTGGCCTTGCACTTGATAGAGAATAAAACGTAGTAAAACTCTTTTCCAATTTCTGACAATGTACTGTAATATCTGTGTCATGGTGAAGAAAGGGACAGTCTTGCCTGAAATGGAAAGGTATCATTGATTTTCCTCAACCTTAAAATGGCTTTGTAAGTTGTAGTATCATTCTAGAAGATTCTGGAAACCAAGAAGATCAATATGTCAGGTGGTACAAAACAGTGGGAGAAAATATAAAGAGCAGGTGACACTTGGGATACATTATGTTTGATAAACATGTGACACACAGTGTCTGATAAATATTTATCACATGGATGATGTACCACCTCATGGTGGTTCCTGGTGATCATGCACCCAGTGTAGTCCCAGCATGTATTACAAGCCCACTTCCCCACAATCTACCCATATTCCTTGAGGAAAGGGGCTCGTAGAGCAAAGTGAAATATTGCAAGTTCCAGTAGGGTGGACTAGGTTAAAGGCAGGGTTCCAGCACTAAAGTGTAAGACAGGGAAATGGACCCCAAAATCTCTTCTTATTAACTCATCCACTGAGGAGTGAAGATAGTAAAGGCTGACCCCCTGTGGCAACTAGGGGAACTATACCTCACCATATGATAATACTTGGGCACCAAATACATTTCCAAACCTGGCCAGCATGGTTCTGGTACAGGTAGGGATCCATCAGGATAAGAAAACATAGTTTAGGTCAAAGTATTGTTAATATGAACCCCTTGATTTGGTTTAAACTATGTACTCCCCTCAGAAGCCAAAGGAGATGATTCTAACCATGTGTCAAAATGCAGTCTTTCAGTTTTCAAAATCGGTGGTGAAGCTCTTCAGAGAAGTAAATTTAGTTTCCACATATATTTGCCAGAATTTATTTTTTTTATTCCCCTCAGAAAAAAATGAAAGGTGCAGTCTGGCTGGTTGGTTTGTTCATTTGCCTTGTAAAATTTTCCCTATGGCTCTGATCATTATATATAGAAATAATGATATAGAACTAGATCATAGTGATCAGAACCTTCCCGGTACAAGGCTATTCTCAGAATAGTCCTCAGACAACTGTGAAAATGGCTTTCACTCTGTCAGATGCTTGTTCATGTGGGACTGTGGAAATATTTGGGGCAGCTCTCTGGAGGCTAAAAGGGTTAAATTTTCTAAAAATGCTTAACTTAAATCAGGTGGGTATTTAGGTGCCATAAAAATCCAACATAATTTTTAGAAAGACTGAAACTTAGAATATCATGCCTGAATTCTTATACCATGAGTATTTGTTCCAAAAGTACAATTGTTTTAAGAAGTACAAACTCAATTATAGAATAAGTAAGTCATGGAGATGCAATGCACAGCACAGGGAATATAGTCAATAGTATTGTTAATAACTGTGTGTGGTGACAGATGGTAACTAGCCTGAAAAAAAAAAGGAAATTACCTTTAGGAGATGACATCCTTGGGGGACGGTTTGTCATCTCTCATCATCTTTGTTATGAAGTAGATCAAGAACAAGGGAGTGTCATCCACATTGTAAACTTGGCAACACATATAAACCAATTCTCTAATCTTATTACTATACAGTATAAAAATGATCCATGTAGAAATAACCATTAGCTTTATTTACTCATGGGCATTATAATCGAATGAGATGATAAACCCTGCAGAGCAACAGATAATTCCATTTCTGATATCATAGTAACATTTTTCATGCAGATAACAAAAGTTTTTGTTTCACAGTGCAGCTGCTGCAGGTTAAATTGATTCAATTTAATTAACAAGCATTTACTCAGTGCCTACCTGTGGACAGCACTATACTTATGAGGCATACAAAAGAGTTAAAAGGTAGGATCCCTGCTCATAGGGAGCTTCCAGTCTGGAGAGGAAAGATGATCCATGCATACAGGAAACAATAAATAACTGTTAAAAATCACAGGAAAATCTGTATAAATAATAGACTCTGAATTAAAGACATTGGGCCACAAGGAAACCTATCGGGAAGTTGGAGGCCAATCTGGAAAACTGGACCAAAGGAAGTACATCTTGAATTTGTATCATAGCAAGTGATGAGCACATGGATTGGCAGAGGAACAGGGAGATAGTTTCATGGCCAGATCAAGAGTGAAGAAGGAAAAACTCAAAAACATGGTAACAAAAACCAGCAAGTCAATTGCAGGGAATGGCAAGCAAATTGGCTTAGCTCTGGAAAAGGACACTGTGGGTAAGCAGATGTAATTAAAATCACACAACAAGCCTGGCTGAGGGCACTGATTGCAGCTCTTGGAAGTCCATTCAAACTTCAAATAAGTAATAATGCTTAAACGCATCTATAAACTAAAGCCCCCCCCCAAAGTGTATGTTTTTCCAACCTCAACAAAAAACCAAAGACGAATTATGGAATATTAGAATCTAAACTCAGGAGATGTGATCACTGGAGGTCATGATCAGGCAGTGCTGGAGTTGCAATCATGTACAATTGTCCTTTTTTTTTTTTTTAAACTCACAAAAAGGTGGGTTGTCTAAAACCCATGTATGTCCTCAAGCTGAGAGACCTTCAACCCAGGGCTACTTAGCCCCTATTTCCCTTAGGATTTTTCTTTTACATAGCCCATTCCTTTTCATACTGAATCCAGCAGCAAATAAAAAGTCTTGAGTGTATAGTTGTGGGGGCCCTGGATGGGGAGACAGAAAAAAAAATGGAAAACAAGATGTTGGTTTCAAACTGTGAGTTAATGAATAATTACAATGAATACTTTATTAAGATATTTCTGAACTCGGAAGGAAAAAAATGGTGAAATATCTCTGATCCAAGGCAAAGAAAACTAAGGCAGGAGTGTATAAAACAGAAGTCCATATGAGCAAAGTATTTTTAATTAACCCAAAAGGTAAACCAGTAACCTGTATTGCTGAATCAAATCCACTCTTAAACTCAGTTTGTTAGAAGAGACCCCAGGGAAACGAGTCAGGGGAGAAAGTGGCGGTGCAGGAGCAAATCCCTTCATTTGGAACAAAGTGGAGATCCTCCCAGCTGAACTAGGACGGACGATGCCTTGATTGACCAGCATGACCTTGACAATCCATGAGGGTTAGAACAGGGGAACAGCAACTTCACAATGCTTGTGTTCTTGCCCTTTACGTGAGTCATTGCTTTTAAGCAGCAAGGTGAGGAGTACTTCTGGGTCCCAGCATGTCTATGAAAGTCACTGGCCACCAGCAGCCGCAGCTGTTCGAGAGAGGAAGAGAGAGAGAGAAAAGATGAAGAAGCAAGTGACAATTTAGCTTTCATTGTGCTTAATGTTCTCAAAGAGGTGATCTGAAACCTGTATCTTCCAAACGTGCCCCACATTGCCATAATATTTAGCATTTTTATATTCAAAATATTTATATATTTCTTATTTTTCAGGAGAGGGAAAGTGAACGTTCTTCTTTTTATAATATTTATTAAGTACTGCTTATGTAAATAACATAAAAATGTATCCTGTTTAAATTTTTCCAATCAAAGAATTCCTTACCGGCCAGTGGGAATTCAGTAGATATTTACTGGATGACTGTTATGTATAAAGTTCTGTAGTAACTTCTGAGGAAACAACTATGAATAAGATAGTATCTGCCTTTACAATGGTTGTATATATTTTTAAGTACAAATTATAGGAAAATATCAAATAAATAGCATGCAATAGGATTATATCATTACTTAAAATTATGAGCTTTAACTAGAATTCAGATCTGAAGTCAAAATTTTTCACTCACTATTCTAAACACTAAATCGATCATGTTAAGTTCTAGTCATAATCTAGAGCAAATACAAGAGCAGTGTGGATATGTGTGACGTATCTGCTTCTAACTACGAGATGCCCAAGGGGCTCACTTCGGCTTTAAGGAAACACATAAACTGAGAGTGAAGGGATGGAAAGAGATATTCCATGAAAATGGAAACCAGAAGCAGGTGTAGCTACATTTATTTCAGACAAAATACATGTTAAGCCAAAAACGGTAACAAGAGACACAGAAGGTCATTATGTAATGACTAAAGAAGGCACAAATAAATGGAGAGATAGTTCATGTTAATGGGTTAGAAGAATTAATACTGTGAAAATGTCCATACCACCCAAAGCAATCTACAGATTCAATGCAATCCTTATCAAAATTCCAGTGGCATTTTCAAAGAAATAGAAAAAAACAATCCTTATATTGGATGGAAACACAAAAATATCCTACATAGCCAAAGCAATCTTGAGAGCGAACAAAGCTGGAGACCTCACACATCCTGATCTCAAACTATACTGCAAAGCTATAGTAATTAAACAATATGGTGTTGGCATCAAAACAGAAAGTAAGATCACTGGAACAGAATAAAGAAAGGAGAAATAAACACATGCATATATGGCCAATTAGTTTTTGACAAGGTACTAAGGTTACACCATGAAGAACAGATATTCTCTTCAATAAATAGTGCTGGGAAAACTGGATATCCACATGCAAAAGAATGAAACTGAACCCTATCTTACAACATACACAAAAATCAACACAAAACGTAAGACCTTAAACCATAAAAGCCCTAGAAGAAAATCTAGGGAAAAATCTACTTGCCCTTGGTCTTGGCAATGATTTTTGTATTTGACACCAAAAACAAAAGCAGCAAAAGCAAAAGTAAACATTAAGCTAAAAAGCTTCTGCACAGCAGAGGAAATCATCAATAAAATGAACAGGCAACCTATGGGATGGGAGAAAATATCTGCAATTTGATAAGGGGTTAATATCCAAAAGAGACAAGGAAATGATACAACTCAACAACATAAAAACCAAATAACCTAGTTTGAACATGAGCAAAGGACCTGAATAGACATTTATTCAAAGAAGACATACACATGGTCACTATTTGTACATGAAAAGGTGCTCGACATCACTATCAGGAAAATGCAAACCAAACCACAATGAGATAGCAACTCACACCATTAGGATGTCTATTATCACAAAGGCAACAGACCACCAGCGCTGGCGAGGATGTGGAGAAAAGGGAACATTGTGCACTGTTGGTGGGAATGTAAACTGATACAGCCAATATGGAAAACAGTATGAAAGTTCCTCGAGAAATTAAAAATAGAACTATCATATGATCCAGCATCCTACTTCTGGATATATACCCAAGGGAAAGGAAATCATTACTTTGTATTCCCATCCTCATTGCAGCATGAGAGGATGGAAACAACGTAAGAGTCCATCTATGAAGAAATGGATAAAGAAAATGTGATATACGTATAATATCATCATAATAATATAATAATATTCAGCCTTATAAAAAAAAGAAAACCCTGCCATTTACAACAATGTGGCTAAACCTGCCTTCGAAGGCATTATTCGAAGTAAAATAAGTTAGACAGAGGAAGACAAACACTGCATGGTATCACTTATATGTGGAATCTGAAAAAAAAAGAAAAAAAAAGTCAAACTCATGAAAACAGAGAGTAGCATGGTGGTACCCAGGAGCTTGGGGGTGGGGGAAATAGGGAGAGGTTGGTAAAAGGGTACAAATTTTCAGTCATAGGATGAATAAGGTCTGAGACTGTAATGTATAACACAGTGAACTACTGTTGACAATACTGTATTATATAATTGAAATTGGGTAAGAGGGTAGAACTTAAGTCCTTTCAACAAAAAGAAAAAGGTAAATATGTGAGCTGATGGATGTGTTAATGAATTCAGTGGTGGGAGTCCTTTCATAATGGATATGCATATCAGCACACACATTGTACACTTAAAATATATTACAATTTTACTTGTCGAAGCTGAAAAAATTTAAATGCAATTCAAGAAACAAGTAGCTTAGTGATGAAAAAAAATCTAAGTCAAGTGTAATACAAGAACATAGCACTGGAAATTTGCTGCATCCATTCCTATTGGCATTAAGGTCAGCCAACATGGAAGGAGTAGTGTTGAAAGAACCACAGAGAAATGGGGCTCAGCCCTGCTCACTTCTAAACTTGGGATAAAACTTGGCCTGTAGCCATCCATATACCACTCTCCTATTCATCTGTGTGGGCTAATGAATTTATTTATTGTTTTTTCCTACTTAAACCAATTCGGGTTGAGTTTTATTACCTACAAGGGGGGGAGAGCCCTAGTAATACTAAGAGTTTTAAAGTTAGGAATGAAGGAAAAGTTTGAAAAAATTTTCCCTAAACTTCTTGGGCATCACTTTTCCATGTGGAAAGCAGAGCACATCAGGGATTTTGGCAAACTGGGGTATGCCTTACTGGAATGTTTTTAAAATTAAGGAGGTTACAAAAAAAGAGAGATTAATGACTTAGAAAAGGCTCCAGGAGATCAACAGTGGTGAGTTCAGAAGAGCCTAATGGTATCTTCCCAGTGTGTCCATCTATATATAAAAATGGTCCCACTGAGCAGGAGAGACTCTGCATTTGTGTCTGCTATTTGTTTTTGTTTGTTTTTTTTTGCAAGATTTTATTTATTTTTTTGAGAGAGAGAAAGAGAGCATGAGTAGGTGGGGGAGAGCAGAGGGAGAAGCAGACCTGGGCCTTGATCCCAGGACCCTGAGATCATGACCTAGGCAGAAGGCAGACACTCAACCAACTGAGCCACCCAGGTGCCCCTTGTGTCGGCTATTTCTATATGACCATATGGATGTCTTCATCTTCTGTCAATTGCAAAGTCACCTTCCTATTACTATTGCCAAGTTTACATTTCTGGATTTTTCTTTCTCTTGCCTTTCCCCCACTGGAAACCAACCCAGCCTCCTGGATACAATGCCTGAGAGGGTCTCAAAAAGTGAATAGTAAAAATTGTGGAATGACTCGCTCAGGGCAATAATGCCACACCACATCAAATGCCCCATTTGGAGAGAGAGAAAAGAAAAAGAAGGAAGAGCATTTTTTTGTAGGGGAAAAAACTGTCATCATAAACATTTCTCCAACCTGCTCGGGCAGCCGCCATTTTCTTGTTGCGTATTTTGTTCTCCAAAGCTTGCTACACAATACAAAAAGGAGAAAAGAACATGAGGTTTACTGGTATTTCCAATTACTTGCCATTAATAAAGGTAATATGTTAATGAAATAAATTATATCCTACCTGTTTCATCTTCTTTTTTAGATCCAGATTTGCTGCCTTCTGGCCCTTTGCAGTAGCATTGAGATAATAAATGGTCAAGCTACATTTTAAAAAATAATAAGATTTATGGTGTTTTTTAGTTAAAGATTCTTCTTAAATTTACATTCACTAAATCATAGAACGTTGGCACTGGAGTGGACTTTAAGATATTTTCTTTTCTTTCTTTTCTTTTTTTTTTTTAGGATTGAAGTACACAGAGGTCAAGGAGTACATTCAGGAAAGGTTACTAGGGGCGTACCTGGGAAGATGGGACCCAAGGGCATCCTCTTCCACAGCCCCGCATTCTATCTACCATACCTCACTGCCTAACTGTAGCTCCTTCTTGGAAACGTACTAACATCAGTTGAAATTGTAATTAAAAGTAACATTTCAAATTGATATTAATCTACTGAAGCATAGGGAATGTGTAGAATAAAAAATTGACCTGCTTTAAATTTCCTCCTTTGGCTTTTACAGCAAAGAATATAATTCTCATAGTCATAGTTCACTAACATGGATTTTTTTCCATAGGGTGTATTTCTCCCTTCCTCAAAAAGAAAATGTTTTATAAAGGAATATTCTTGGCTTTTAGTTGACATTTACATTTCTAGAAAGAGCGAATTCCAGCCAAACATTTGTGTAAAAATAAATATGTTCATCTTCACTTAAAGCAAAAACAAACAAACAAAATGCAGTAAAAAAAAAAAAAAGGTAACTGGCATTGCTCTTTGTTGCAAATAACTGGATACTAAACACATTTCTTCTACTCCCCAACCATGCCAGATTATATCCTTTATGAGCCATCTGGTGCTAGCAACACAATTATTGATATGGTTTAGCCGGGTTTGTTTATCTCTTATACGAGTGATGGGAGTTTGAAATTACATACATGAAAGCATTTGGTATGCTATTTGGCATGAAGTAGGTGCTCACTAAATTGTGTGTGTGTGTGTGTGTGTGTGTGTGTGTATTATAAGGATATTCTTAGAAAAGTGCCTGGATTTGGAGGATAAACTCAAAGACCTCACAAGTCACTTGCAGTTCTGGAATTCTCTAGTCTCCAAAGGAATGAACCTGGCTACAGAGAACAAACCTGAATTCTACTCAGTTACCCAAAAACCATCCAAGCTGATTTCATATGATCCACTGGGGAAATTCAAAAGGCTTATAACATGTAACATTCTCTAATTAAAGGTAATAAAGAGCCAAGCCAATTGCATGAGCCCCATAAACTGGAAGATGAGATCTTAGGATTTGAAAAATCAAATCAGTAATAAACTGAAATGGGTTTTAAATCAGAACCTCAGAACTATAATCAGCCTTGCAGGACATCTATTTGACCTCATATTCTGCCAGCTTTTCTCTACACAGTCTGTGCCAAGGGCTGGCAAACTATAGTCTCCAGGGTAGAAATGACTCCCAGCCTGTTTTGCATGGCCCATGAACTAAGAATGGTTTTTACCTTTTTAAATGGTCATGTAAGTACTTATATAATATTCTCAATTTTGCCTTTTGACCCACACAACCTAATATATCTACGATTTGGCCCTTTAAGAAAAAATGTGCCAACCGTGGGTATAAACCACCCCTGCCAAGTGGCTTCTAGCCCTTCTGTATCTTCCCACTCATCCCAAACTCAGTGTTTGGTGCTTCAGAGGCTTAGGGGGAATAAGAGTTGGGAAATAAGACATGGGGTTTGAATTTACTTATTAGCTGCTTGATTTGGGGCAGATCTTCCATGCGATATCAATAATGTGATTAATGAGGCCAACCTTTTCAGGTTATTGTGGAAATTAAATGATTAATGTATGGGTGGTGCCTGGGACACAGGCAATGTTAGCTCTCCAGACAGCTTATTAAATCTTTAATTGGTGGCATGAGAACAATGTTGCACCTTTGCTTAAAAATAAAATAAATAAAAAAATCTGTCTCTCAGTAAGACTATAGTCATAAAATCTGACATTAAGTTTTGTTGGGTTTTATTTTTTTAATATAAGATCTCACTGGTACTGGAGGAGCAAGATGGTGGAGGAGTAGGAGACCTAAATTTCATTTGGTCCCAGGAACTCAGCTAGATAGGGATCAAACCATTCTGAACACCTACGAACTCAACAGGAGATCAAAGAAAAGAATAGCAGCAACTCTCTGAACAGAAAAGCAACCACTTTCTGGAAGGTCTCTTCTGATTTGTTTAGTGTATATTTTTCTGGGGTCATTGTTACTCTGTTAGCATTTTGTTCTCTCATTCATCTATTCTCCTCTGGAC